GTTCGGAAGAGGGGGACGTAGCAGCCGCGGCTCACCGACATTCTAGATCTGACACTGGGAATCGAGGAACGGTCAGCTACAGTCGGAAGGTGGTCCTTCTGTCTGCGCACCGATGCAGAATCAGAGGCTGCCCAATACCGTCTGCGGGGCTTTGTCCATATCCTAGTGTGAGTAGAGACAACCGTAAAAAAAGGACAAACAGGGCTGGGAAGGTGGCTCAGTGGTGGAGCGCTCGCCTTGCATGCATGAGGCCCTGGGTTCGATTCCTCAGCACCACATAAGCAAAAAGAAAAAAAAAGTTTTTCTTACATACACCACATAGTGCATAATCTGTACTTCCTGATTTCTGTAATAGTAAAGTGGGCCTAAATTTAGCCACACAAGGGAAGGAACTTAAATTCAGGATTCTGAACTTTGAAATAGAAGTCTATAAGTCTATAATTTTCCTGGACTTCTCTATAACTTTCTAAGCTCATTCTCTCCAATATTTCTGCTTTTCTTGTAAGTATCTTTACATGTTCTTTCCATTAGTTAATACATTTGAATAATCTAACGATGTCTGCCACTGGTACAAACGGTAATTTTGAAACACACAGCTAATAAGGTAAACATACAAGTCAGATACAAGTCAGTTGGTGACTAGAGGGTCAGCTGTGGGACCAACCAGTTCACTCTAATCTATATCCTTTGTTAAGACAGTTGGAATTATAACTGTATCTACAAGAATGTGTGAAAGTAGTCCCTTATAATAAACATCCATCTTTCAAAAATTACTCAGGTATGTCCATGCAAACATACTGTGAGTTCTGGGGATAATTACAAATGGAGATCAGTCTTGACATATTTTAAAATATCTCACTAGCTGAAGAGCTATCAAAATGGAAGAGCTATCTTCCATTAACAGTGTATGTTATAGCTGTGAAGTTACTTGCTAGCACTTTGAGTCCCTTTGTGGGGACCTTGTATAATGTTTCATAGAATGTGATCTGGTAAGAAAAAACATGGACAAGACAGAGTGTACAAAGATCCCAGTCTGCCATGATGGGCTGCACATCAAAAAAAACAAAAACCAATAAACCCTCAAGTTAAGGAAGCCAACAAGTTTAATAGTTTATGTATCTAGATCCCAGGGTTTGAATCCAGTGCCTCATGCCAGCTAGGCAAGTACTTGAGCCACACCTCCAACCTTTTTGCTTTTAAACTATGTTGTCAATTCCTGACTTCCCTCAGCCCTGCCTGGCCAAGGACCTGAACTTCCTACCTATGCTATGCTTCCTATGCAGTGGGTACACAGGTACATGCCACTCTGCCTGGCTTCCTAGCTTGGTTGGCTTTAGATGGGAGTTCCGTTAACTTTTTGCATAGGCTAGCCTGGAACTCATTGAGATTCTTTAGATCTCAGCCTTCCAAGAAGCTGAGATTAGAGGTGTGGGCCACCATGTTTATCCTATATTATATTTATTCAAGGGAGGTGTAGAATAATTATGGTAGTTTTGCTGATGGAACTTGTTGACAAGAGGAGCCTTCAAAATTCTGGTGGCATATTCTTTTGTTTAGGTAACTAGACTAGTCAGGAAAAGACATTTGTCATCAGAGCTACCAAGATTTGTCTTTTGTCAGATGACACTAAGATTGCTTATATTTTACTGTCATAATGCTATAGTGAATTCTGGCTTATTTTTTAGTGTAAGCAAGAGAAAAGGAATTAACAACCAGGCACCAGTAGCTCATGCATGTAATCCTAGCTACTCAGGAGGCTGAAATTTGAGGATCTCAGTTCAAAGCCAGCCTGGACAAAAAAAATCCATGAGACTCTTATCTCCAATTAACCAGCAAAAAGCCAGATGCAGAGGTGTGGTTCAAGTGGTAGAGTGAAAAAGCTAGGCAAGAGCACCAGACCCTGAGTTCAAGACTAGTATTGGGAGCACCAAAAATGTAAGGAATTAAACAGCAATGTTCTACAATGTTTTGGGCAAAGAAACTATGATGTTATAGACATTTTCATTCCCCAAAACACACATGTTAAATAGGTTGAAAGAAATAAAGCACAGAAGCAAAAGAAAGCAGAAAAAGTTTAATTTTTAGTTGAAAGAATACAGGTATTTTTGTAAAAACTTAATCCGGACATTCAAAACATACAATTATCTCAGCTTACAAATTACCCTATTTTAGATACCTTAGATCAAAGTTGAAAACCATTTGAAAAGCTCCCACTTGTTTCTAAAGGAATGAGGCAATGTGCTCACGAAAATACTACTTTGCAGCACTTAGTCCTTCCTAAGGAGTTTATTCATGGTTTTAATCCATGGTATAAGGGTTAACCTGAGGAATTAAATTTTTATTATCACAGCTGAATAGCAAAATGATGTTCAGATAACAG